TCATCCAATCAATCATCTATAAAAAGCTAAATAAAAAGGCAAGCAGTAATCCTCAGCGCACTAAAGCACAAAGGTGTGCAAAACACCCCCATTCCTCTGAAGACTTTAGAGTTGGTTTAAAAAATGTGGATTTCTAGTTTTGATTGAATTTTTTCTTGCTTATATATGCGTTATACTCAAAAAGGCTCTATTTTGTAGAAAACTTAAAAATACTGACACTCTGGAGGTACTTTACGAGAAAAATTACAAGATAAATTTATAGCATTGAATTGAAGGAATTTTACAAAAACCTTTTTCAGTGTCGAATTCGGGACAAAAACGAAAATAAGTTTTCCCGTTTTTTTCGGAAAATCATTAAGGTTATCTGAAAAAACGATTACAAACCGAAAAATGTTTAATGGAAAGCGCAAAAAATCCAGTATTTTCTGATGCTTTTCGTCTTTTCTGACAATCATGAAGTCTTTTCAGCCAAAAACGACACAATTAATGTCGTTAGAATATTGGCCTCTTGCATCGCTTTGCAGGATATTTAAAACCCTTTTGAGCTTCGAATTTGGCACAAAAACCAAATAATGTTATTTACTTTTTTCCCAAAGTAAAGAAAAAACGACCAGAGCAAAACTTTACAAAAAATTATTTGGAAAATTCGCTGACCTCATCGCTCTGAAGAAATTTAAAGTTCATTTAAAATTTCAGGTCTTTCCAATTTTAGCAAAGTTTTTCTTAAGCAATTCTTTCTAAGCAAGTAACGCATTATTTTCTAAAGATTTACTTGACACTGACAAAATTCAGTTATTTTCTGTGAAAAATTATCCAATGAATTCTATTGGAACACTTCGCTGCTTAACCATTTTGTGAACAATTTTTTCAAAACTTTTACAGCTTCAAATTTTGGACAAAACCCTAATAATTTTTTCCGGGTTTTTTTCCAAAAATATTTTTCCGAACCGAACAAGCGAAACTTTATAAACAATAATCAATAAGGATTGTAAAAAGCAAAAGTAAACTAAATTGTAAAATGTCGCTTCGAGAGATTATTCGATTCAGCTGTTGATTTTTATTTTCCGGCAGTGTCACAACATTAAAGGGTAATCAAATAATGTATAAATAKTGATTTTSAATAAGCCCTATACGATTTGCAAAAAGTCAAATTTTTACTGGTTGGCTAGGCTAGGGCTAGGGAAAATGAGTAACAAAATGTATTAAWAAAATCCGCATTAACATGTTCTGCAGAAAAMTTCTAACCRAATAAARARACTGAGATTCTGTGAATGTCATATRTARAGAARRTAAGTAACTAATAATAAAATTTCGAAACGRGTAAACATATTACATATGACATATTTTAGCCTCAATCGACATGGAAATCTAACATTCCCTTAGGGTTTGTCCATCTACTATCCAACTTCTCTCGTTTGACAAAAAACGTACTTGGTACTAATGTGATAACTGCAATTTAGGTATGATTAAAAAACAGGCAAGCATTGTTTAAGTCGTGTCCAAATCGGTTATGTAAATTCGTGAAAATACTACAAATAAAGGTTGATTTTCATATTGGCATCAACGCATTTTAGCCACTTTACTTCAGCTGGTGACAAAATGTCTACCTGTTTTATCAAAAATGGAGCTACGTGTACCGCATCGTAATTGGGAACGGCTGCCAAAAAAAAACCATCTAAAATAATGAAAGAAACATTTTGCAGTCATCGGAAGTTCAGGGTAACAAGGCGCGTTGAACCTTAGATAAAAATCAGCCCTAAACTGAAAACCTATAAAAGTGATCACTTTCGATTAAAAAATAATGCAGTAATTATTAACTAAGAAAACAATAAAACAGAAGATCATTTTAAAAATGTATTGCGGTCTACAAAACTATTCAGCTATTTATATCAAATTACAGACATCAAATAATATAAATAAACCAAAAAACCATGAAAGTGATTAATTTGAGTCGAAACATAAGTTTAGTTAATCATCTTTAGTTTAAAATGCGGCAAATCCGAGTTAATATAATTAAATAAATAAATTATTTGCTTTCAGAACAGTCATGATGTTTTATAACTAGCACAACCTATTCTTTTGGTTTGAACATGTCTGTAGAATAGAAGTTTATGAGGCGCAGTCCAATGCTTCTATCATGTCCATGCATTTACCATAGATATAACAAAATGTCACTTTTAAAATGAACTTTTCTTTCTTCAGTATCTTGCAATAAATTAAGCAGCATTTTTAGCACAAGATGATCATTAGCTGYGCTAGTGAATTTATTCTACAACAATGTTTTTCTATTATTTTTCTTGAACTCGACGGGATTATTTATATTCAACAAGTCCTTCACCGCCCTTCTCTTGTTTGGCTTATTTTTAATGAGAAAATGACTCTCAGAGCTTCTTAGCTAATAACGGCACGAAAAGGGCCTGCACGATTTTTCCCCGTCCTAAGTGCCATTGTAATTATCTTGGAAACACACTCCCGGCCAAAACAAAACTCATGTAGCTTTCGTTAAAATGCTTTGATTCAAAAGGTTTAAAAACGTGCAATTTCGCCAGTGTTGTGGTGAAAACATGGTGCTCAAGTAATCTTCACAACTCCTTGTGTTAGGTAATGACGATGCCCCTTTTATGTTATTCCTATGCAATTAGTTTTGTAAGCCTTAAATATTGTCAAAGTATTATCAATAAGACCAGCAGCGACTTTTTCAGAACATAATTAATTTATTTCTCCTTTTGTTTCTAGAACATGCAAAGCAACCAGAAAACCAAGAATCTTTCGCAGTCATTCAAGCAGTGGATCATACTGGTGAGTTTTCGAGCTTTTAGGCCATGCTGAATAATAATGTATCGCTGACGCTACGCAAGCATTAGTGGCTTGTATCGTCCGTGTTTCGCTCGTGCCGTGCAGAATGCCGGCTGGAAAACTTCTTGAAAAAAATATTTTCTTCTGCTGGACAAAAATGCAATGCATGGCAGAAATGCTGAACAAAAATGCAATGCATTTTTGGGTTATGCGAATGTCCGAAAGCTCCCTGGTACAGGATGATACAGAAAAAACTCTAATTTTTAGGACACAAGGCTTACATTAGGATCTTATGTGGCCTTTGCAAAAACATTTTTTTAGAGAAAACATTCAATTCATGTTCACAGTGCTGCATTTTTAAATATTTTCCAAAAAAAATATTTGCAAGAGCAACAGAGATTTCTAATATAAACATGTGATCTAAAAATTAGAACGTTTTTCTGATCAAAACATGTAATTTTTTTGTCGAGCAAATTACGGAAACCGAGCACTAGATCAATTCAATACAGAAATTGAATGAGCGTATTTTTTACATAGAACATAAGTTGAAAAAATGCAGTTCCTCCTATGCGATTCATGGCTTTCCATTACGTTTTACGAGAAAAAAGATTCCATTGCAATGCCACCAACCAGATCTTTAAAAAATTGGATGCCAGCCAGATGTTCAAATCACATCGGCTGATAATTTACTTTAAAAATTAGGAACAATAATCAAAATTTACATGCCCTAACACTAAACCCAGTTGGTTACATCGATAGAACTGAAAATCAACATTGAAATTTAAGGTAATTTTGCAAATGTTGGAGACATGTAGAGAATGTGTAGCTGATAATAACTGTGTATTATCAAACTCGGTTCCCTTGTAGAGTTCCGGTGATGGCTAACACATACCAGAAACGTTGGCTGGAGTGTTTTTCTATCAATTTCTATCGCTAACTGTTGATAAATCGCCAACAAGTTGGACCTGTTGGAACTTTGACTACACGCAAAATTTGAAAATTATAAAGAAAGTGTTGTAATTGTGAACAAATGCATAGTCATACTTTACACACAAAACAAGTTTGATTAATTATCCAGCTCTGTAGCGACTATTAATTGCAATGATGTATGTATGTGTTAAATATTTCACTTAACAATCCGTTTGCAATCGAAATGACAAATACATTGTTATGCTTCTCTTAATGCGCTTATTGTGTGCAATAATGCGCGCAATATTATAAGAAGAAATTTTGTTTTTTACTAAATGTAAACTGAATTGTTCCATTTTTTCAATAAAAGAAAAAGTGTAAAACAGCACAGAAACGTGTGCGAAAGTTTCGTGTAACTTTAGTAGATATGGGCAATGCAGTCGTGTTTCGCTGCACCACTCGAAAGTTAGCGAAGTAGGGCGAGTGTCAGTATTCCAGATATGGAAAAGTTATGGCTGAAACTGAAATAGTTATGCAAATTAATGCACAACTTCGATAAAAGCGATGAGAAAAGAGATAATCCCGAGTTAACAAAGGGAACCCCGTCATCAGTAAATGTGTAATGATTATTTGGCTCAACACTGTTCCCTTCGTAATTAGGTTAAAGCTAATGGTCCTTTTGCTGTAACGTGAAATTTCTTCGTTTATATTTATTCCTGAGATTCAAATCTTTTGTGTCGCAGTGCCCACTTCCACATTGTCTGCTTTTATCAATTTGAATAAAATAATAGGATTAGAATCAGGCTGAGCTCTACTGAGGAGGACTTAAATTCAAAACCCAGTCTTAAGATAGGCCTTCTGGTATTTGTTTAGAAAGCGCTCATTTTCTTCACTGGGATTTTACATGTACAAATATTGAGCCAAAGGAAGTATTTTGTATTTGGAACAGTAAATATTTCGTGCGTTTATAATGGATTAAAATGGAAGAAAATTGTCTGGTGATAGTAAAAAATAGATATAATAATTTACGAAAACGTTTAAACTGAAATCTCTATAACCAAATACTAATGAGCATGTAATTGTATCAGTTGCAGAAAATACGAAAAAAAAATTAATTCGTTAAATAATAAATAAAATAAAACTATTTGGGACCGTAAAACTGTGGTGTGTGTGAAAAATTTACGAAACAATCGTTTGCCTACATAACTGTAAGCAAAAAGTCAGTAATAAAATGTTCATGTTTTCGATTAAATTCCAAATGATGTCAATCCAAAGAGCAAAAACTTAATTCTTGCCAACTTTGAACCAAAGTGTCTGCAATTATTTAAAGAACTACCGGGTATGTCCGTTAAGGATTAACGTGATTAAGAAATGATAACAAAAATGTAGCTCATGATTTTAAGAAAACACCAAACACACACAGAATAAGATAAATATTTAAAACTCAATTTAATTTTGCATTCAGCTGCAATCAGTGTATGACCTATATCAAAACTTACAGCTGTAATCAACTTAATCATATCTAGAACAGCCAGAGAAATATATTATATACCCAGTAAATGCGACGCGACGCCTATGTTTAGAGCCTCATAAAAGAAAGTGCCATTTACTTTCAGATTTTCACTGATTATTCCCACTTCTTCATGCAACTTGCAAATTGCTTTGTGAATATTCCGCTGTGAAGAAAAATTTACGAAAGTGCCACTTAGACTGTGTTATAAATTCATTTTGCATCAGTTTTTCTGCGCGCCTCGACGGGACGTCCGGCGTCGGAGTATTTTTATACAACAATAAAACTTTAAGTGTAGCTCCAGATATTTAAATATAGACGTTTTGATTAAGGTCCAAGACGTAGCAACATTTTTTACCGGCCAAGGATGACGTTGCTGATCATAAATCTGTTCAATTTCCATTTAGATAGTTTCGGTCCGCCGTTTTCATTCACTGTTATTTTTACGGCCACAACGGAGTTTACTACGCATTAAGCTGTGAAAAATGCATCCAAAAACACTCTTGATTGAGTACTACGGGATTAAAACACATCGAATTGCCGCTTTCAAAATATTAGACACCGCTAAATTTACCGTGGGCTCTCAAAATAGCTACGACGCTATTTCGAATGAAACGAGAGCCGCCAACTGTCTATTCTTAGAGTTTTCACCTAATAATTTATCGGAAGCACAATACCTTTCGATACATACAGGTAGGTCACTAGGTGAAAGCTCAAAAGTCGTGCCTATTAATCATGTAAACCCTTCACAAGTTAATCTGGAAATCCAATTAATAAATTCTAGCATTTCTCGACTACTAAACTAGAATGTCTGAGCGGCTCGTATTTTTGGCACAATAACAATAGTTTGAGAGTGCAGACAGCAGTTTTCGTAAATAATTCAAAGGCGTTAATAATTCTAATGAAAATTGGCAGTTGCGACACCAGGCTAACTATCCCAAGCCAATAGAAAATTCACGTGATATTGGATGGATTCTCCGCGAAAATAACAAAATTAAATTAATTAAATAAAATATTAAACTAATTCCAAATGATATTAAAAATTGACTCTAGAATTGGGAAAGAAATAATGGGAAACGTTTACTCTAGAATGTTACAATTGAGTTGAAAACACCAATAATCTTAATATGGCTTCTAAAGGGAAACTGGAAAAATTAAGTAAATAAAACTGAAGCTCCAATGTCTACCTCAAAACAAATAGTTGAATAAAATGAAATTGTAAACTCCATAAACAACGTGGAATAAGACATACAAGAGCCACTGAATAATTTGTTCAATAAATAATTAGCCAAGGAATTCCATTTATATCAAAGAACTATAAAATTATAGTAATTGAAATGCTCTGTACAGATCTTGGAAATTTGAAATCTCCTAATCACCAGCATTGAAAGAAGCCACAACAATCAATATAAAACAGTACACATTTAAGTCTATAAATGAAGACCCTCATCATCTTTATTTAGATTCATGGATGGCGAAACGGTTTAAAACAGCAATAATCTAAATATTCTCAACGCGGAGAACTAGAAAAAATAACATAAGTGAACTAACTGATAATCCAATTGCTCACTTATTGATCATTGAAAGGTCTTAAAGAAATTAAAATATGGCAATAAATCAGTCTCATCGAGAATAAAATGTTAACCGAGTCTGTCAGCCGCTAGTTTGCAAAAAACTGATTTGTGGTCAATGAATCTAAAAAGAGTCGGCAATCTCTCAGACAATCTTCACATTCGCATAGAAATAATGCAATGAATAAATTCACAAATAATAAAGTCAATAAATATATTCGTTTCCAACAAATAAAGATAAACAATCTAATAGTATCTCAATATAAATGTTACATCCCAAGGATCTACCAGAATAACTTATAAACAACCCTAAATGCATGTGTATAATTCATCTGACACTAACTTGCATTTAGACTAGAACATGATGCAATGCTTTAAAACGCTAAAAACAATATTTTGAGCAAACCGAAATGCATAAGTGCACAGTGAAAAACATTTCTTTACGAAAAACAAAACGATTTTTGCGGGAAATCTGTGAGTAGGAAATGGTAAACAACCGGTAGATTTTAAATTGTAAAACTGTAGATGGATGAAAATATCCTCCAAATTTTGTTTGTCTGTCCTAAATTACTGACGATCATCTTGATGAAAATATAGGTATGCCTATTGTCGAAAAATGTATTAAGTTTTTTGCCTATTTGTAAGTGGTTTATATGAATAATCGGTAGATCACATAAGTATTTTTATGATCCTAGAGTGTCAGTCATCACTGCTAAATCACATTAATTTTTGTACATATTAACTTTTTCTCCCTTACAAAAGCTTCTTAATAACAAAAAAAAAACAATGCAGAAAATTAAAGAAAACCAACAATTATTAATAAAGCTGGGGGTCTGTAGCCAGCAAAAATATGAACGAAAAAAGCTACAAACCTGCAGTGATGATACAGGCAAAAAATGTAGGCAGGGTGTAGACTCTAAATGGAATAAAATCGCTTTCGAAGAAGTCGACAATTTGTCTAAATATGTCCGAAACATGTGCATTTTGCAAGTACTATGGAAAACACTAAGTCAAAACGTAAGTTTATAGTTTAACTTATTTTCAACGCAAAATTCATTCATTCATCGAAATGTGCGTGCAAAATCAAAAGAATTCAAACAGAAAGAAGGGCACAGAGGAATTTGAAAACAGCTTAATACCGAAATAAAACCCATAGTAAAATCCACTTCAACATAACAATCACAATTAGTGCCGATAGTACAGATATAAAAGAGAAAACAATTCCTATTAAAGAAACTAACAAAAACATAGACTTAAAGAACATAGCAACGCAATTAGCAAGTTAGTAACTTTTTAGAGCTGCCGTGGACAAAGGACGGCTTTGTTGTTGGTAACCAACGTTCTGAAAGGACACCGTACATAAGAAGAATAAACTCTCAATTCCGTTAAATAACGAAAAATTGTCAAAACATCCATCAATGCAAGGCGTTTAAACCAAATGTAAAGAACATTCATAATCTCCTACTTAACCATGGAAGTTCAGAAAAGCACAAGTATAACTTAAAAATATTAAATCTAACATCGCTAAACCATGCCAGTATACGTAACTGTAATAACGAAATTTCACCGGATTTGGATGGTGACTTTTAAATTTAAATTAATTTTATGGCTCTCCCAGATTTATTGTTCTAATATTCGTTAGTACGAAGTTGTTTTAGAGATTTTTTATTTAAGATTTCGAATGTAGCCACTCCGCGCATTTTGTAATTATTGCCAGAAAGCTTTAAGTAAATATGCTGATGTTAAAAAGTTTAGCAGTTAAACAAATAACTTTAACGAATGAACGTTAACTGATAAATCGTGGAGTGCTACACTGTCACATTTTTCTTCTAGTTTATTTCTATAGTTTTTTTCGGATATAAACTGGACCCTTTTTATAATATTTCTGCTTTTCGCTGACGCGGGGGTGTTTTAACGGTTTAGGGAAAAGCTCAAGTTTATCCTAGGCTACTCTTCATATTTTTTACTCAAAAACCCGCTTCATTCCTCAAGATAAACGCTAAATCTTTTCAAGTGCTTTAGGCGCACAGTTATTCCCAACTTCAGCAATGAGTTACTGGCATAAGTACAAGAGCATCCAGTATTCCCCTCAAAGTGCACCTGATCCATGGAAAATATTTCTGATTACAGGAAAACAAATACGTGAGATCTGAATTACAATGTAAGCATCGGAGCATTGCCCTAATGGAAACGCCTCTAGAGTGGTGCAAACTTTTTAATTAAGTTGCTTTGAAACGAAGTATGTAAGTAGAAAGCTTTTTCTAAAGGGACGACGTGCATTTAAACGGCAAACTGCTCGCGATGAAAATTTAATTTTCCACGGTTCTGAGCAAAACTTAATCATTAGGTTTATTTGCTCTATTTTCTCCACTTAATAAGTAGGTATTCCTTGGAAGCGGAAAGCGACGATGAACAGTAATTATGCTATACCGAAACGTGTTGTTTGTTTTAGGTGTGTGTTTTTCATGTAAGTGTCTTCGAAAACGCAAATTGGAACTAAATTGTTCATCAGTAAAACAAAGTCAGATTCAAATTAATGGTACCAATAAGAATTTGAACTAAATACTTGAAACCTCTTGTTAAATAAAATATTGAAAACGGAATTATTGTAACTAACTCAGAAACTCAAAACCAATTTAGTTCAAACCAATCCGATGCAATACAAGCAACCTTCTACCTTCTAACTTTTCAGACTGTAGAGCAAAAATCGCGCTGATTCTATGCGATTCGATATGTTAGCATTAATGTATCGATCTAGTACATCCCTGTCATATAAACCTATTAAATAAATTAAGGTTTCTCCGTTCAAGTTCAAAACGTTCGCTATAGGATTCGTGACATTGTCGCATTCAAGCCGAAAACTCTTTTATACTGTTTTGTTTGACCTATTTATATGCCACCATTGTTATCAGCCAATGCAATTCTGTGGACAAAAAAGATCAGTTGCTACTGAAGTTAACCTGTGAAACTCCAAACAAAATGTTTCAGATAAAACAAAATCCAATTAGGGATTGGAAAAAAGATATTTTTTTCATATTTAGTTTATAGCGTGCTTTTACTCAGTTTGAAAATTGCCATAAAGATAATGACACTTTATACACATCATACAGAGCTGTGTCTGTGTAAAGTACAAATTTTAATTGATTGGGAAATTGTTAATATTTAAGTTGTAGTTTGACCCAGGCTGGATGGCATTTGCGATCGAAATTTATTTATAAAAGAGGCGGAGTTTTTATCAATTATATCCAGTTGTGACAAACGAGCTTGCTGGTAGAGGAATATACGAAAAGAACAGGAAAACCATGAATTGCAGCTATAAGAAAAATATGAAATATTGGAGGCGACGCTGACATTCCCACCAAACCTTTCATCTTGATTGATTCCAAATCGAAGACCCATAATTACGATTAGAAGCTAAAACAATTAATAAATGCTTTTATTATTTCAATCTTCACTCACAAGCTTTTATTTTTAAGATATTGGCAAACCAAAGTAAATTGTGAAAAGTACAATAGTTGGTCAAAAATACGAAAATAATAAGGAAGAATGCAGCGCGAAAAAACTGGGAGATTTTTGCCGACAACCACATCAAGCAAAAATGAGCAAAAACCGCATCCAGAGCTTTTAACTCAAAATTCAAAAACCATTATCAAAAGACGCAAGTTTAATTGCATTAAACTGCAAGCCTGTTAAGACTTTTTTGCGTCTGAATCCGTTAATTATAAAAAATGGGAAGTTTAATAGCATTTTGCCCGTTCACATTTTGCATAAGTTCAACTGATCGATTCTTCCGTGTTCCACTTATAGATTTATCAACCACAGAAACGCATTTTATACTTCAGTATTTGCATTACTCTTTTTAAAGATTTTAGTAATAATACTAAAAATGGATTATAGTAGTACGAAACTGCTAATGGCTAATTCATGAGTTTGTAATTTTTTTCATGTTCAATTTTCTTGAAGAGTCTAATCCAAATTGCTAAATACCTTTTCAACAATTATATTCCAACCCCTATTAACATATTTATTTGAAATTAGGGTTCAAATTAATTCAGCCGCCACCAATCTCATTGTAAAGGGTAGATTCATTAATATTTTCCACACAAGAAGGGTTGACGATGAATTATGTGGATGTATTTAGTTTGTTGTTTAAAATGATGTCGCCTCTCACTTGAGTTATCTGTTTGCTCATTTAATTCACTCTTAAGCAAATCAAATGAATAAATTTCCACCGATAAAATCTGGATAAAGTGTAGTTACATAATATGCAAACATCCAATATGACCAGAACAATATCCTACAAAATGGCATTTTCTTTATCCAATCTTGTATATTACCCTTTGTGCTCAGGACAATTCAATATAAGCAGTCTCTGAACCCTGGAAAATGAGCGCCAATAAAACAAAAGACTTTCCCAAATCGACCATCCAGACAAGGGAAAGTTTTCCGTGCGTATGACTTGAAAATGTTGGAAAATTCATGAATATTTCATACAAGTGAAGGGCTGTTTGCATTAATATTTAACATCAACTAGGGTGAATATTTTGGATATGCAGCACCCAATTTTCTATTCGACTACTAATCAAGGCTGGTGTGAATTACATCAGTAATTTTCACTTACGTAAACGCTCCGAACTCGCCTTTGACGCAACTTCGTTACATGTAATTTCCTGGAAGACTTCGATCGAATCTTCAAACTCAATAGTTTAGTGGCCGATGGAATAGCCGAAAAGCTGAATAGGACGGATCGAAGTGGATAATTCCATAAAACATCCATATAGCATTGCTATTCGCTGCCAGAGGTTTTATGATGCCGTTTCCCCTCTATACAATGCTTGAACAAAAACTTTATTTAGGACCCAATAACCAGCTTTAGCGCTTTATATGTCAGTCTGAAATAGACGCAACTAACTTTCCCAGGATGAATAAAAATTTTATTTATATTTAATCTCTAGTTTTGCTTGAAACAACTTCTTGTTTTCGGCTAATTAAATTGTCTGAGAGTATGGTTCAATCAAATTGCAATGATAAAATTTAGCTTGTAAATTTTAAATCAGCTTGAACAGCTGTTTAAAGTGGTTGAAAACGCTTGATAATCCATATTTTTTATTCTAAAGCGATTTGATGTACACTGGATATATTGGTTTACGTTGGCATATCGGGGTTACCTTCATGAACATATCGAAGCCTTGACCTCATTTTCTTGGAGCGTCCATCGAACATTTGCACTTGAGGGTTGAAATCGTTAATTTTAATTAACATAAATGTCAGAATAGAAACTCGCCTCCTTGCTGCAAGCTCCATGATTGCCAGAAAAGCACCGATCGAAACATACTAAATGAAACAGAATTATTTAAGAAATAGTCTTAGAGTCTTAATGAAGCTTATTTCAACCAGCTGAGACATTGTTATGATATAATTAACCAATGCAACAATTGACACCAAATATTCCAATTTGGAACTAATAGAGTTCCTATTGGCAGAGGAGTTTTCCTCATATGCCGAAAACTCTTCACTCTGGATTTACACGAAAAATATATAAATATGTCGATCATTATGTATACCTTGGACACACAATAAAGCTTGGAAAAGAAAGTCAAACGGCGGAAATTTACGGAAGAATTGGATTGTCATGGGCTGCCTTTGGTAGAGAGAAGATTCCACACTCTTTGTGTGTCTCAAAAAAAAGGTGTACGAGTATTGTGTACCTACTATCTATGGCCGTCTATGGTTTAGAAACTGTTACTCTTCCAGAGGCAAACGCAGACAAGATAAGAAGACAAACACAAAGAGCAATTTCAAAGGAGGAGGAAGAATATTAGGAATAAGTCTAAGACAGAGGATCCGACACTTGGAAATATGAAGACATACGAAAATCACTGATATCATCGAGCGAGTGGCAAAACTTAAGTGGCAGTGGGTGGAACACTGGAGACCGAGGGTAAGAAAAATCAGTATCGGAAGACCAGAAATCAATGGTTGGACGACGGGCGATGGTTTATAAAAATCTTACATTAAATGAAATGAGGTTCAAGTTGCAGCTCTAAATGGAAAAAGTATCTTTGGCTTATCGATGCGTAGAAATAAATGTTAAATGCCTTTGGGTTATGACCGCATATCTTGAGCGCCAAGAGAAAGAAAAACGCAAGTTGAAGTTCCAAACTGTCACTTCATGTGGAAGCAAATGGAACTTTCAGCCTTAAATGGAGTCATACTGCTTTAAGAGCAAGAATATTGCCAGTTTGACAAATTGAAGCAATTATCTATTACAGCCCAAAGCAAAAACCATTCAAAAGTCTATAGTAAGAATGCTAAAAGAGTCTATTTTAAGTTTCGCAAAGCGATATAAAACCTGGCTGAGAAAGTTCTTTGGTAAACATTTTATTGCATCTTATAAAAAATCAAGAAGCAAAACGAAATTAAGGAGAGAATGTGACGCAAAGTAGAAATAAAATAAGTCCACAAATGATACAATTTGTAAAGATGACGGTAATTTGCTTTTCAACTCAGTTCTAAATGAAATAAAACTATGAAACCGCTGAAAATTGTGAATTTCGAACATAAACAACTAAAATGATTCCAAAATTAGCAAAGTTCTGGAACTAAAAGTGGTATAAGTTTGTTGCTGCAAATATTGAAGGAAGAACAAGCTCTCGAAATCACTTTATGATGCAAATTTAGAATTATTTCTCAGAAATGGATTGTTTTGAGGAGTTTCACAAAATCGAATTCTTAAAATATTACATTAGATGGCACAAAAATACATGCAGAAGCTAATTTAAATAATTCGGGATATTAATAGTGCGTGATTTTATTTAAATCGTAGCAAAAGAACGAAGTTACACTAGTAATTCGAATAATACAAGAACAGCAGAGTTATATTATCTATTCATACATTGTCTTTACTGAGAAACATACTTCTTACTGGTGCATAAGAACAAAGCAAAAGTATTTAATAAGTCACCTTTATCAGTTAAAAATAATTCGAAATTATACAGTGTTTAAAAAAACAAGAAATTGTTAGTAAACCTACAACCGTACTATTTAAATAATGATTTTCTACAATAAGTTAATATTTTGATGTATTTTAATTTATATTTTAGACATTATTTCATTTCATGTTGCTCAGGTGTAGGTAATATACATATAACTCTATAGTTCCTACATTTGAAATAATGCTTATTTTATTCTACCGCATTTTTTAGTGAAACTGTTAACTCCTTGCGGCTTCAAGAAAAAAAAGTCCAATGGAGTTCGAATTGTTAAAAATTTATATATATTTCCCAACATATGGTTTTCAACATTCTATTTCCCAACATAAAGGTTTCTGTTATTTCTGTTTCACATATTCATAGCAACAACCAGAAAAACTTGAAGAATCACGATCAAATATCGAAAAAATCCATAAAAACAAAACTTCAAGAATCAGAAATAATGAATAGATATAATATCAACAGTTCATGTCTGGTCACACATATCGAAGTGTTCTATTAAAAAATTAAATAAAAAACCTCATCTCAGGAGTGAATAACAATTACGAATTTGCAGTTTCAAACAAAACAAATGTCCTGTTTATATGATGAATAATACTGGACTTGCCAAAAAAACCACCAGTTTGCAGCAGAATTACCAGATTTGTAGTTTCCTTTTTAAAATAGCATAACAGTGAAAGAACATCAACACCATTTTTCATTAATCGCCAACACTTTAAAGAAAATAATTGAATAATAGACTCGGATTCTGCGTAATGTTTATCGACTCGTAATGTTACATTTTTAGACGTGTAATTTATCTTAAAGTAATAATAAATAGAATCGTTGCTTGTGTTGGAGACAACCCGACCGTAAAATCACAGCATGATTGGCAGTATACGCATTCGGTTGGAAAATAATAAATATGGCAAATTATACTGAACATGTGGGGATTCGACAAGTATCATTCGGAAAGTTTCGTTCCTACATATTTTAAGACAACCGTTCACATCTGCAAAAAAGTTTAAAATAGCTTGCTTTACAAATAAAACTTGAATATTATGTATACTCCCACGATATATGTGCAGAATTCAGTTAGGTTCGCTCCAAATATACCTACTATACTAATAATACACCCACTCAAAATGAATTCAAATCCGATCTACTTTGGTCCATGGGTTGTTTTTATTTTGATCCTTTACTGCTGCGACACCGCTTTATGAATTTATAAGAATAATTTTTTGTGTTGATATGTGTGTTAATATTTTTTAAGTTGGAATCGTTCCAACCATTCTTTATATAAAAAACGGGGTAATGACATTGTCCCAACAACCAGCAGCATCAATAAATAATCGGAATAGGTCGTGCAAAAACCAACGAACATTTCTTCGAAATAAAGGCAATAAAAAGGAATAATTTACAAAGGGTTTCTCCAATTTGCCAAATGGAGAACTTGTTTCAACAATGCTTGTATCGAAATCCA